CAGTTATTGACAAATAAGTTTCGCTTATTTTGTATAGATTACTTCAGACTAGAGAAAAGCACTGATTTTCAATAATTTCAGCTCGCTTAAAATGATATGTCTAAATTATGATTTGCTAAACACCTACTACTCCAGAAAAATCATAGCTCTTTTACTAAATTTATCATGATAAAACTTTATTTTTAGTTCGTAGTAATTCATCAGCAACGTCTACTAATGAAAGTACTACAGTATTTGATGATCGTCTCGAGAGAACACTTAATAGTCGAGGTCGATATGCTCGTTTGGGTAGCACAGGAAAATTCTACTGTGGTGGTACACTCGATGGATCACAGTGTAACTGCTGTAATGGTAAATGTGGACCAACGAATGGTTGCAATTGTTCATCGTGTATGTTGCTTGATGTTCAGAAACGAATTCTGCCTCGAGGATGGCTTGTCAATAGCGACGGTGCACCAGCACGATGCAGTAGTCAGCTACCGACGACATTCTATTGTGGTCGTAGAGTTATGCCAGATGATGGAACAAGTGATGGATATTGTGGACCTACCAATGGACCACAATGTACAGCATGCCAAAGATTGAACCAGCAACAACGTGATCGATACAAGCATATTTGGATTGGTTAGTGATGTTCTAAACATATTTTGCTTCAGGCTTAGAGACATACATATTTCAGTATGCTTCTAATTGCAAAAAAAAGACAACTTTTCAACTGTAAAATCTACTCATTACTGAATCTTTTATTGAGATGTAAACTATATATATTTTATAACTCATTTAGGCATGAAAGTTTTCAGTGTAATCGAGTTCGCATTAACGCGTGAAATGTTATAAATCCGTTTTACACACAATCAAGAATATTACTCATTTTGATCATATTATAATTTTAAGTCAGATATCCTAATGTAATTTGTATGTCTCGTACGACCTATAAGGTTGTTCGAGGGATAGCAGTCGTTCACTTATCTAACTATATACTTCGACACATATTTACACCTTGTGTTTCATGAAATAATTCATTTAGTATCGAGTGGGAGCATCGTTCACATTGACTTCTTTTTTAATATGTCGGTATTGATTGAATAGAACCGCAGATGGTGTTTCGAACGATATTTTACCGTTTTAGTTAATCAAAATGTATAGCGATTTCAATAAATATAAACTTAAAGAACCATTTTTATTTCTATTCATAAGAGTTACTTCACATGATCTTCTTGAAATTTGTGGTGATATTCATAAACATAGAACTTTGATTGTATTAGTCGCTAATATATAAGCAGAAGAAAGTTTTTGTATGCAACATTCTTGAAGAAAACAAATACGTAGTGTGATATGAGAACGCGTTATTTCGAAAAATGATCAAGTCGTTTTTTGAGAGATTTTTCCACACAGTCATGCACTATAACCGAACCCTAAAAATATACGTAACTATCAATGATCGTAGATACAGTATTCCGTGTTGAAAGCTCATTCTCATGGTGCATATAGAAGTTACTTTTCATCTTATTTCAGTGCAGAAAAACGACGTTTACTTGCAGAGTGGTATCTGTACAAGATTATCCGTTGAAATTAAGACCTCTTTCAGCATATTTTCCAATAAAAAAAATACTTCATTTGTCTGTTGCGTTTTTTCTTCACTTGAATTATATATAATAGAAAATAATTCAAGTAAAAGTAGAAAAATATAAGATGAAGAATAACTAGAAGTGTTCATTTTACTCGTTAGTTTTATCCAAACAAATGTAATTACACGAGAAAAATGTGTAAACCTCAACATTTAGTTTTAAGTGATTGAGTTTTTGAGGGAGCATACGATAAACTTAGGACTATCCAAAGATAATCTCTATCAAGCTTCTGATCCTTGAGCTTGATGTTCATTCATCATGATGACAAATTTTTTCTAAGTGATCCATCGACATTTTTTACTGAATATAGGTTGATGATTATCCTTAAATAATGCATGAAGTCTTTATCTCGATATGTCTTTCAGACTTGTACTAACATCTCTAAGTATTCGTTTTAAAAACGTAATATTTAGTTAATTAGAGATTTTAATACTTACCTGTCTTAATCAATTTAACTAAATGTGTGCCTGTGTAATTGTCTATTCCATTGAAAAAATTTTCTTCGCAGATTCTGAGTAACAATTTAATAAAATATGGTAACAACGACTATTCATAATAGATTATTGCCTGAATATTTGAAGATATCGTCAGATCGAATATGTTAAACTTTAGTCTTCTATCTAGAAATATCTAATGCCTATCTCGAATCGACTAAAGACGTACATCATTCAAAAAAGGATTCATGTTTTTAGAGGAAAGACGATTAGTTTCATTGAATTATTTAAAAAAAGTTGGAGTATATCCAAATACTGAACTGATGAAATTGAATGATAAACAATTTACCGGGCTATTCTTATCATCTATTATTCTGGCACATATTGACTTTGATAATGAAGTTAATGCAATCAAACAATCAGAACGTGACTTAGTCAATAGTTCTATGTCATTCGAGTTTCATCCAGATACGTTTAAATGGTTGTTTCAAATCATTGAAAAACTAACAATCATGACAATAGAGACTTGGGATGCAGTTGTCGTCCATATTTTAACTGTTTGCTTACGATTATGTACAACACATTTGGAAATTTTATGTTCTGCAAAATCGAATCTTGATAATAATTTATTGACCAGAAACGATGAAGTTACACAAGCAATTCTATCTTCCACAGTATCTGCATCACATAGTCACCTCGATTTAAATGCATTTGCAATGAACGATCAATTACAAACATGGTTTGAAACTTTGCTGAAACTAGTGTGTATTGACGATGGAAAGTCTGAGCAGGCGGTCATATGTAGTCAAGCATCCAAGGCTATTCTTCACGTTTTTGATGTACGGACATCGTCATTTATAGAAAAGTTATCATTTATTCACAAACATATAATGGAAAATAAACATCCAATGTTTGTACAACAATTATGCAAAGAGTTGACGAAAAACGTTGTCTTACTAAGCTGGATCGAAATTCTATGTACAGACAATGACAACCAGACAGAACAAATTACAGCATTGAAAATACTTTATTCATTTATCGACAGCTGCTTCAAATCATCGAATGAAATAAATCATGAACAACAGCAACAACTGAAAAAAATACTGATGTCATTTCAACAACTTCTATTAGGGCGATTAGTATCGGAATGTAAGTTGAAAAAGAATCAAAACAAAGAGTCTGATAATGAAATTTCTACAACGGCTGCTCCAACTACTGCATCATCTCTGGTAGTTAAGTATATAAATCACATATTAAGTAATCATATTGATAAACTAATCATAATGAATGATTTATTCAATTCAATGTTTGCGGGTTTGTGTCTAATGACAAAAACAAATGAGATATTTAACTTTGAAATAATTCAACTCATATTCACAACTACTATGCCAATACTCGTCGAATATATAGTTCAAAATGCAAATGGTGAAGCATGCGAAAACAATAATCTACATTGTATTTGTTGGCTGTTAGGCAAGATCTGTAATGTCATGATTACTGGTTCACAACAGAATTTAACAGAAAGAAAACATGCCGATAAATTAAAGTCACTCTTGTTTGCTGGTGGTTGTGAAAGAACAATAATAGAAAATAATAAATATCTATTAGATTTGTTCGAATCTCCTTTAGCTACTTACAGTCAATTAACATTGACTGATGAAATTGAACGACCACCATTTGATCATGAATTTGTCATGTCAGTTTATAATAATACTAATCAGGGTGCACAATTGATATCAAAAATGAAAGAACATATGAAAGACAGACAACGTTTATTACAAAAATCGATTGAACAACAAGCAAATGATGCATTTGCTGCTGTATTTGCTGTTTATATTAAACATTATCGTCGAATTAATTTAGCTAAACATGAACTAGCTCAAACGGATAATAAAAGACCACACTGTAAACTTTTATCAATCTATGAATATGCCAGTCATGTTCAAACATTATTCGCCACAACAAAAGCACAAGGTGGTGACTGTAATGAACTTTGCAAACAAATAAAAATGAATGCATTATTTCTTTTGTCATCCGTCCAAGCAAGTAATTCAATTCCAATTATTAATGAAGATCTTCTGCAATCAATAACAAGTACACAAATAATGACACCAATAGAACATAAAATAAAACCGTCATTCAAGCGACAAGTCTCACGATGGACAACAGCGAAACGTGTCTTTCAATTGCTTCGAAATACAATGAATGCTTGTATACGATTTAAAAGATTGATAATAGCCAAAAAACAAGCTATTAGACAAAAGTCCGATAATGAAAGTATCTTAAATCGAACAATTGATGGTTACCTTTATGGTGATCTTTACAAAACGGTGACAAGCGAAGAAAAACAATTGGAATCAGATGAACTTATTCAATGTATGTCACGGCAGTATGAACGAGCAATGACAAGAATGATAACGTACCGATTTATTCAAATGTTTATTCAAAAAGTATTAAGTATTGAAAATCAAAGTCTGGTCTTAACTATCTTGTCTGTTTATTTACCATGCTTGAGAAATACAGACTTAGAATGGTCCTATTTAGAAAATATTGAAGCATCAACTTGCAATCTGAAAGAAAAAATTAGAAACATTTATTATTCTATAATTAAAACTATTCTGTCCTATATATTACAATCGATCACCTCTGAACCAAAGTTCTTATGGCGAAATATGTTCAACTTGCTTAACTTATCATATGAAGCAGTTGATATTGAGTATTTATACCGTGATCAATTTGTATACACATTATTCACATTGTTTGTTAGCTTTGTTGAAAAATCAGAGTACACGAACAATGTTGGATTCTATAGAAAATTGATTGGATACAATTGGTTTCGATTGTTCGTATTGAAACTGTGTGAAACTATTGAATTGGCTGAACAGAAAGGTGCCGACAATAAAGTTCTAAACGAACAACAGAAATTTGTTTTCAATACTTTGATTTTAAACGAACTGAAAGGATTGACACAAATGATGCCAATTGATACAGAAAACGAAACTACTTGTTCTTTAAATAATAAAAAGAATTCTTTAGATAATCTTGCCATTGCTTGGTTCATTAAAAGAGCAACAACAACGGAAGATGATACATCAAATGTTACATATGGTCTATCATCAAAATTTGATATTGAACTCTGTATAAACCAATGGTTGATACTTCTACTTCGTCTTGTTCATTTTTACGAACATGTTCAATCTGTTTGTGCAACGATTGATTACATTGAAAAATTGTTGTACATCTATCACACCTATCAAAATAGTGTTACCAGTTTTCTCGCGTTGAAAATTTTACGTTACCTAATACCGAAGCATGCAAACAAGGAATCAAGGGGTGTTATTGAGAACTTTTTGACCAAGACTCTATTTTGCATTGGGAATAGTTTCATTGCACAACAAATTCCATCATATATTATCACCGAACTGATCTATTTATATCGTACAGTAATGTCTGTAAAATCAACATGGCAAATGGTGGCAACAGAGTTGATTTTTAACACTGTCACATCAAGCAAGGACAATACTTATTTGAAATTACTCGAAGATGACAGCATGGTCCAAATGAATTGTTTGGTTGCATCTCTATGTATATTGGGTGGATATATTCAACCTTTTTGTTTAGGTTCAATCGTAAAAATATATACCGATGAAGAAAGTAATGAATTTCAATTGGCAACTATCATAGAAATTGACACGAATGCTAGTGATTCGGACATACCCGATACGTCGACCTATTTGATTCAATATTTAGAAACGAATGAAATTAAAACAGTGACAATTGATGAACTACATATTGAAATCGATGTCTCACCACCTAATCTACACTTGTTACCAAAAGCAAACGAAACAAATGCAGCCATACATTCATTGTTCGATGCATTGGCATATTTCATACAAATTGATACGTCGACAAATGAATCTGTACCGTTATTACAACTGAAACGTCGCTCAGTAGCCGTTTTATTTCATATATTGAATGATAAAACTCTCGTCGAAGTATTCATGCAAAAACCATATGCACCCATTATTGTCAAATTATCCATATCTGATTCATTATCGAATAATTGTCGGCAACTATCTGATTTACGATTATTGAATAGACAACATTTGGAACAGTATTGTTTAAGTTTAGATAAGTGTCTAAGCTCAAATGAAATCGTACACAACGATAATGGTAATAACAGCCAATTATTGCATGATGTGATAGTTGTAAATAGTAAGCATAAATTTTCGTCATACGTTTGGAACAATGATGATATTAATAGCAATCAATTGATTGTTAACTCACTATCGACGAACATATTAAAATATAATGGTTGGAAACCATATGCATCCGAAATTGAAATTGAATCGTTTAGAAGAGGTCGAATTGGAAGTAATGAACCTTCAATTGTTCCAATGCCACTCAACATTAGTGACTCAAGCGTATTCGAAGGATGTGGTAATAATCATAAATTCAAAGGACGAATTTCTCCGAATCCTAAAAACACAAATGGACCATTTCCAACATATATTGTTGATAATGTACACGTAAGTGAAGGTAAATGGTATTATTGTGTTAAAATACTAGTTAGTGACATTATTCAAATTGGATGGGCAACAAATGGATTTATACCTGTTCCAGATGATGCTCGTGGAATAGGCGATGATACGTATTCATGGTCATACGATGGATCACGAGGTACACTTTATAATAATGAAGAATTTCATTTTACTTCTGATGATATTCGGTGGAAAAAAAATGATGTTTGTGGTTGTGGTATTGAAATTGACGGTGAAAATATTTGTATCAAATATTGGCTCAATGGAAACTATCTTGGTAAAGCTTTTGAACATCAATCAAATATCGCATCGACAACGACAAAATGTAATATGTTACCAAATGGACGGCAGGGTACCACCTATTTTCCTGGTGTTTCTTTACAAGTGCGTTCTTATTCTAGTAGTCGTTGTGAACTAATTTTTAGTCCAGAAGACATGACAAAATGTCCATTGCCCAAAGGTTACAAACCATTACTGATGCCGAAATTAATCAATATCGAAAATTCTATTGTTGCTTATCCTTACAGCGCTTATTTGATTGATGATCAAGTTCAAAATAATTTTCATACACAACGAAGTACAACATCGACGATTTTTCTGCGTGATTTTGTAAGCGAACATCACCTTGAAACAGGTTTCCCTATGGATGATCATCAGCTAGTCTTACCAGAAAATAGTAATGGTTTACCACTTGCGATCGATAATTATGCTTCGTCATTGACAATCAGTTTTGATTTTAAAATTTTAACAGAAGTTGAAAACGAAACTGACACAAAATTAGATGTTTTGTTATTTACACTAGAGAATACAGAAATATTCTCAGTGCAAATCTCAATAAGCAAAATCGAAAACGAAATACGAACTGCAATCATATTCGATCCGAAAGAACAACAAATGACAATCTACTTCAATAATGAATGTCGAAAATTTCACGTTGCTTTTGAAACTACGAAGATGGCGAAACTAAATTTTCATATTTTACCTAATATTGCCGTCGGAATAAAGAATCTCGGCATTTGGAAATATGCTCTTTCGGAGGAACATATTCGACGTCTATTCACCTATGGCTTATTCTATGTAGCAATCGATTATCAACAGTTGAAAGAACATCGAAAACAAGCAAACACTATCACGTTCAGTAAGAATCAACAACAATTTTCTAGTCAATTACTTGTTCCGTTTAATGAACCATTCGAAGAGAACATATGGGAGAAAAAGAAGAAACAAGTTGACATTGATGAATCCAAATATTTTAGAACAATTGCTGGAACTGATGAGTCCGTCGTACAATTATTTGGAAATAAAACATATCTCGTTCTAGACAAATCAGCTAATCAATGGTGCGAATATACACTTATTCTCGACATTTGCATACCTAATTGGCCAACGAATAACGAACAATTGACACTATTGACATTGAATACACAATCAGAAATTTATATTACACATAATAGTAAAATTATTCTATCTAGTAATGGAACACAAAACAAAAGTGATTCAACATTGAAATTGAATGAATATTTTCGTTTGCATATATCGTTTCAAAAGAAAGTTGTCAAAATCTACGTAAATGGAATACTGGAACTAAGTGTCAATGTCAATGAGAACCAATTCATGGCAAAAGCTAAACGAATTGAACTGTTTCGAGAAGTGGATTTAGGAAAGAATACGACTAATGATGATAGACTTCGAATTGAATGTAAATCGATCACATTTTTAAACGGCTTAATAGCAGATGTAGATAATCGTGAAGAAATGAAATCAACAAAATATTCATTAGAAACTTTGGTTGCACCACCCTTTTCTATCGTTGCGTTAAATTTAGTTGCCATTGGATACAAAGAATCATGGATAAAATACGCTATGAAAGAATACAATACGAGTAATATTCAATGGATTGATACAATTATACGTGAGAAAAAAGATGAATTCATGAAGAACGAAGCTCAAAATCGACAAAAACGTTATTTCAATATTTTGTCGAGATTAAATCCATCCATTGATAGAGAAAAAATGGAAGATCTGCTTGCGTTCTCGAAATTTGATACTGACGAACAAGTGACAGCTGCTTATGAACTCATGTCACTGCATTGTCACGATCTACAGACTTCGAAATCGTTGTTGATGACGTATGAAACGCAAGAAAATGTTCCAAATTCAAATGAGAATGATACTGTATTGTCAAGCAAAAAATGGTACTATCAAACTGTTCGTGATTTAGATGTCAATGATCGTCTCGACGAATGGATTCAAGGAAAAACAAGAATGATTCGAGCAGAAGATCTCACTTGTCAATTGTTCGATTTGACAAAATCTGAACAAGAACTAACAACAATGACATCATTCGTAGAAAGTCAACCAAAAAAGATTAAAAAATCAATTCAATATTCACATCGACAAATATCACAACAAAAATATATGAACTTGCGTGTCGCCTGTGAACATGGATTGACAATGATCTACGCACGTTATACTTTATTCAATATGTTAAAAGTTTGGTCAGATCATAGTTCAAATAAATTTCCATGGGAAAAATTTGGTGATTGTGCATTCATAACTAGACTATTACAGTTGATGGATTATCGCTACACGTATACAAATACGAACATAGATGAAAATATTGATATCATGAGTTTATTAACGAATTCGATTCTCAAAGTTGAAATACAAGAATTATTAAAATATGCTAGTAATCACAATGAAATTAGAGATGAAATCATACATAGAGAAGTTCCTTTAATCTATCAATTGCAAAGAGACATTACTATTCAATTGATTCAATTTTTGTTTGACCCATTATTATTACTATGTGATTGTGATAATGAGACAAAGGCCATTGACGAACGAACACTGATTAAACAATCAAGTTTGAATTTTGTTATCAAAATATTGAATCTATTTGTTGAATTGGCAATCGATAAATCGACGATGAAACATCGTGACATCGATTCACTTATTCCAGTTCTATTTCCTGTAACATTAATCAGTCTGTTGTTCGATCTATTTTTGATTAGTCCAACGCATCAATTAAAAATATGCATTCTACGTCTCTTTTCCACGTAAGTAAAAACAATGACAAAATTCAGTAAAACCTCATAGTGAATGGCTTTTTTTGATCTCGTTAGCTAAGAGTATCTCCACTTAATGAATGACAAGAGTGTACATGTGCTGAATGCTTGCAGTGGAATAAGATATATGTCATCTCAAAGTGGTAATAATGAGCAATGGATATGCATGTATTTCTGTGCCCCTTAATTAACGAACTAGAAAGACATACATCGAATTATAATGACACATAGTCCAATCTCCCTCCCTCACACCCACACGTTTGATGTCTAAAACATACAATACTCTTGGCTTATAACCTTACATTGTCTTTCGCGAATCTTATGCCTACTACTCTCAAATGAAATATGTTAGCATAGTCTTATAGAACTCTATAATCAAATACAATTTTCGAGTGCTGCAATTAAAAAAGCTCATCAATTCGAGTTCGATTCTCAAAATTTAAAGATTTTCAATCATATAAGATCATAGACAAGACAGAACATTTTTAAAGATTTTTTTGTTGCTGAAAATAGTAGGCTGTAAAATCAACTTTCTATATTAGATCATTCTTGAACGAGTAAGCAGAATTTCTATAAGTAGAAAGACAACAATATGAAATAGTCTCGGTCAGAGCTATATTAGGCATCCTAAAAACGAAAATAACTCTTTTTTTTTGTTTAATAGTTTACTTGATGCAAGCAAAAATTTCAATTTGAAAGGACAAATTCAACATTTCTTGTTCCAATTATTTATTGAAATATCAGCCAAAAATAATTTAATGAGTAACCCAACAGTAAAAATGTTACAAAACAATCTCATGGATATAGTATTTCTGTTATTTGAGAGACAGAAATATCAACAAAGTACGACGCATGTAACAAACGATCTGAATCAACAATTGAGATTCGATTTATCACAATGTCCACAAAGTTTTCGTGATATACTGACAATAATCGATGTTATCAATGTGTTAATAGATAAAAAGAAGCAAGCACAGTTTCCTGAAGTTGTTTTTCTAACAATGGACGATAATTCAGATGAATATTTGAAATTCACTCGAGATGACGTTGAAAAATCGAGCCGTCATTTCGATACGATAGCTGATCAACAATTGATTAGTTTTATGAATAAGCAATTGTTAGTCAACGACTCTTTCAAAGATTTTATTCAAAGTCTATCCATCGAAGACATGTCTAATGCGACATTCTATAAAAATTACTCATCGCTATCAAATATTCCAGCTGTCTGCATAATAACTCGTGCAAAACTATTGTATCGATTGAGTATGTTTATCGAAAAAGTTGTGTCATTTCTCGATTTTACTTTATCACCGAGACAAAGCATTCTCACAGACAAAATTCGTGCACATAAAATTTATTTATTTCACTCAACCAAGCTTCATTGGTTTCATCAATCCTTACAAAAAACTGTAGTGAGATCGTCGCAAGAAATTCCTTCAGTTGAGTTTGACACAGTGAAAGTTAGTAGTGTTGATGATAAGGACGAAGCTACTATGTTTCACCAAGCTTATGATCAATTACATCAAAATGCTCAAGTATTATTTCGAAGAGAAGAGGAACAACTTTGGCAAGCGCAATACATTGGAATGCATAGTACAGATCAAGGTGGACCCTATAGAGATTCAATAACACGCATTTGTTCGGACATATGTAGTATACGACTGTCTTTGTTTATTTTATGTCCAAACGGACGAACACAAACTGGTTTGAATCGTGATCGTTGGATTCCAAATGTATTTCCACCGAATAAATCGATTTCAACTAAAGTGAAAAATCAATATCGTTTCATTGGACAATTAATGGGCATGGCAATACGTCGAAAACATTACTTGGATTTAAAATTTCCCAGTCTGCTATGGAAACAATTGGTGCAAGAAAAAGTAACTATGGAAGATATTGAAGCAATTGATATGCAAAGTTTTAAAATTATTAATGAAATGGAAAAAACTTTAAAACGAAATCAGTCGATAGATACCGATAGTGACATCAATTATTTACTTAGTAGTATTATGAGTGAACTACGTTTTGATATTGTGAGTTCAGCTGGACAAACTTATGAACTCATTCCCGGTGGTGCAGAAATTCCGATTACTTCTGATAATTTAAAACAATATTGTGCGTACTATTGTGCATATCGTCTAAATGAATTTCATCGACAAATTGAATTTATTCGTCAAGGCTTGTATAGTATTGTACCAAGCTATTATTTAAGTTTATTTACAGCTAGTAACCTTGAAGAAGCCATATGTGGAAAAGGGCAAATTGATATTGAATTATTGAAGAGGAACACGAATTATAAGCATATAAGTGCAGATGCACCACACATTCAACGATTTTGGACAGTTCTAAGTGAATTATTCGATGAAGATCAAAGAAAATTATTCTTGATATTTGTTTGGGGAAGAAGTATATTACCGAGTAAAGATGAAGAATTTACATCGAAATTCAATATTAATCCATATTATCTAAGCAATGATGAAGTGGATAAAGCGCTTCCACGTAAGTAGTGTTCAACTTTTTAAGTCGACCAAACGAAAGAAAAGAACTTCAGTATTTTTCAAGTCAACTTTAGAAATTAAGAAAAAAAAAGAACATTAACTCGTGGGTTTTTTCTTGACAAGAACGGCAATTTTTATTCTACATATTTTTCTGAGGGTTTTCATTTTGTTTACAAGGTAGTCTTCTTCGTATATAAGAAGAAAGGTTTCTACTTCATAAGATGATTAGATTCCCATGAATGCGCTCCTGTTCATTTATGCAGTAGACGGAACAGCTTCAGAATCCACTGGTACAATATTTTAATTATCAATCGTTGAACATTCGAAAAACAGAAGCCAAATCTAAACACATGTTGTCCACCATGCTGATTTTCATGGCAACAGTTACTTTCATTGAGATACTTGTTCGAAGAATGAAACATCAGTCATTACAAACTATCAGCTGTTTCACATTCATATCACTTTAAAATTGGTAAAGGTAGACTCTATAAATTTGTACACATACATCAGATTGCCATGACTTGAAGAATCTCATTTTCTAGCCCACAATAAGAGAAATCGTTTATTGTATTAATGGAAATTCATCAGACTTTTCATTGAGGTTCAAGTTAATAACGAGTGCAGTTTCAAAACTAATGTTCAAAGTTGTGTTGAATGCATGAAATTAGATTCTTGACTATGATGTTAGTGAATGCAGTTTTTATCAGTGAATTTGAAACCATGCTTTGTTTTTAACTGAGATATTTAGTGTAAAACCTCATCAAAGTCTGACTTCATACCTTCATGCATTTTGGAAGAAATTTCTCTTTGAAAATTTTTACTCACAGCGATTTCAAAGTTAAACCTTGGCTTTTCTCTTGAGTAAGAATGCACCTGTTTCAATTCCAATTCTTGACTTGACATTGGTCGTCATTGGAATAGGTAAATCTCTATTTTCGAGTAGTTCAGTACTGGTGGAAGTAGACTTTCGCTGGTATATGAAGAAGGAGAGTATGTGCAAGCTATTGGTGACCGCTTTCAGGACCACTCGATGGGAATTCAATCGCGTAATATAACGGAAACCAGTTGCCCGGTCGAGATTCATGTCTCCTGGGAAGAGTCTCAATTGTGCTACATCCGTGTGCTTTCCTCACTGGCACCACAAGTATAATGCAGCAAAACCAATCGAACTAGATAGGTATAAACGAAAACTTACGTTTATATAAAAAATTTTGCAGAGTGTGAAGAGTATCTTTTCCATACTTTCGACTTCCTAAAAAATTCCGTTGACAGGTCTTCTAGGAGAACAGTCTAGCCAAGAAGGCTGATTATTTTGAGCCATACAATGATATTGATCGAATCATAATAGCTTGATAGATATATAAATCAGTGGAAGTTGGTGGACGTAGGTAACTATTATTGTAACTCCAAAATTAGCTCAAAACTCTCAAGTTATATCTGGAACAAATGGCAAAACTCACAGCACAGTGTCATGATTTAATTTTCACAGTTTTCCAGTGGAACAGATATGGAGCACCACCGATTACTGTTTCCTTCCTCGTTCAGAATAGGAGAGCGTGTTTTGTTTTAATAATAACTTGTGCCGATAATTTGATAACACAATAGGTATTTTTATTAATTCAATATATGAAAGATAGATTTCCTATTTTGAAATCCTCTGCTATGCCTTTGAAGTTGCTAATCAACGTGATCTTGATCTATGAGGCAACAATTTTATTTTTCGAAGGAAGGTAAAACTCAATGGATGGAAAGTGATGTTCGTCTATTGTAACTGAAAGATCTTTTGAATTTGATCAAAAGATATAGAGAATTCTAACATTAATTAAAGATCTTTCATACTGAAATTGATAAATCATGAGATTCATTTGTTTTAGGTTCACATACATGTTTTTTTACTATCGATTTACCTGCATATTCGACGACTGAAATCATGTACGAACGTTTAAATTACGCTATTAGCCATTGTTCAAGCATCGATGGCGATGGTAATATGGTTGAAACTATTGATCCAAGAGATTTTACTTCTGATTCTGATTCAGAAGACTAAATATTGACGCTTTGAATCATGTTTCTAGAATACACAAGCACTTCATTAATCAAGATAAATTGACGACTACTTAGTTACGAATAATAATCTTTTTTGCATTTTCACAACTTTTGTTTCTTGCTCATCAACCGTTATAGATCTTGGGTATGGGTGTGGGATCGTCTTTGTTTTACCAACACATATACAGAACAATACTGTTGATTGTTGCAAAACTTTCTTAGAGTTAGTCGAGTGAAAATATTCTCTTCATCCACTAACTCGATTCAGACCTTCGGAAAGATTTATTTAAAATGACTATTTCTAAGATCAAATGATCTACAAACATTTCTCTTTTCTTTCGGTAATGTGATAATCATTCGTGAAAATACAAGAGATGCTCATTTCACCACTTGAAAAGGTACGGTTCATTGCTATACAAGTCTGTATATATGTTATAAAGAAAAGCGAAACGATTTACATATAGAACAAGTTTCGTGAAGCATTTCTGGCACAGAAAGAGTGATATGCTAATAGAATCATTTTTTGGTAAGGTATAAGAAGAGCAAACACGGCATATACTTTTTGTCACATGTTTACACACTTCGTCTAGTAGGTAAAAGGCATACATGTTTTGCCAGGTAGATATTTCGCACATAAGTCAATATTGTTTGTTCATCTCACTTTAATTATCCATGTCAACAATATTCTTCATTCTGCTTCGTTAGCAATATGGATGTTCTTTCTTTAAGGTAAAAACAAACTTTCCAGTATTAAATTGATTGGTACGACTCAGTGACAACGTAGTTTAGCATAGTATTAACAAGGTAGTACATTCAAAACTCAGTATTATCAGTCTTGAAATGATTCTAGACAGATCATTAATGACTGGCTGTCTCGAATAACTAATATAATTGTATGCTGACTACATTCTGACATCAATTTGCCGTTGTGACTAGTATTTGGCTAGCGAGTGTACATGGGAAGAACAGACTACTGAGAGTAAAAACTCTGAATCAGGTTGACCTTCTGTCGAAGTTTATTTATAGTGTTAGGTGTAATAAAGATATCGAGTTACTGAATGTGAAGCTAGACCCTACCAGCTATACCGTAAGATAGTCGGGAGACAGAGGTATTCTTTCTTCGTGTTAGTATTAAACTGCATTGAACGCAGTCTTTTCGTCTTCCGAAATGAACAAAAAGTGCAGAACATTTAAATCATATGTAACTTTTTTAAATGTTTTTTTTCACTTGTGTAGACGGTTCGCGATGAAAGTAAAATCTAGTCTCTTCCATTTCTTTCCGCACGTGAGCGTCAAAAACGATATGATACTTTGGTTTGTTTTTATTTTCTTATCGCTTTAAAACTTCAGGGTATAAAACGAGAGAACATGACAATGTGGACCAGTAGTTTGTTTGAGTTAAATGAAGTGGTTAGTCGTTTTTCTTTTATCATTTATTGTTTTCGTCGTAGCTGACAAACATTTAAATGCTAATGGTCCTTTTGGGAAACGCCATTCAGTACATGATGAACCAAGTCCACATGCCTGTAATCGAGGTACCGGGTTTGGTTTTTCTTCAAATTTCTCAACGGCTTTGACAGTAGCGACTTTAAATGTATCAGCTACAGTCTATACTAGTAATGAGCAGATCAATGTGACTTGGACATCAACATCAGCTTCATGTACCGATGATTTCATTGGAGTTTATTTTGCCGAAATTCCTCTTACTAACGGTAAATATGGTTTTCTTTTCATAATTCACTTGCATGAGAAAACCATTAAATTCATCAGCTCTAAGCATAAATATGAAAGAGACATTCCTATGCGCCTGTTTGAAAAATTCACAGAATCTAAAAGATAGTTTTCGTCGCCTAATAAATCGTAGCTCTTGCATAACGAATCTGAAGTGCCATCTCTAATCTGGCGCTGAAATATTTCTTTGAAAAAATATTCGCTAATCTATACATTTCATCAATCTCAAACGAATGTCATCTTCTTTTTTTAATAAATAAAACTGTGAAAATACTTTTTTGTGTGTCTCTACAATAGAATATCTAAAAATTTAATCAAACAACTCGAAAACTTTTTGAGATCAGTACTTCGTTTCTTTTTATAGCTGATATTGAATATTATTTTTCTTTTTATTAGCCTGCGGTTATTTTGATTATGAATTTGTCAAATCCAAACAAACTAGTATGTCATGGCAAATGATCAATCTACGCCATCCACTTCAATTTCGTTATTATTCACGTGATCATTCTTGCTCAGGCAATTATTCATTAATTGCTCAATCGATCAATATTCAACCACTCAATTACAATGAACCAACACATATTCATTTAGCTTATGGTGATCGATTAGATCAAATATTTGTTTCCTATCTAACTAATTCATCACAATATACTTCTCAATGTTAATATGGTTTTGATCCATTTTCACTTGAGTTTTATAGAAATGGATCAACAACAACATATACAGCATCAGATATGTGCGAAGGAAAAGCGAATACATGGGGTCCACAAACATTCATCGATCCAGGATATATGCATACGATTTTATTAGAAGACCTTCGTCCATCAACAACCTATTTTTATCGAGTTGGAAATAATGAATATGGCTGGTCATCAATCTATTCATTTACAAATCGTCCTGCAACTAAAGATGAAGCAGTAACCTTGATTGCATATGGTGATATGGGTTTATCACCAGTACAACCCGGTGCTAAGTCAACTATCGATCGAGTAACAACACGAATCATATCATCAAATATTACTTGTTTGTTACATATTGGTGATATTAGTTATGCTCGAGGTATTGGTGCACTATGGGATGCATTTATGACTCAAATACAACCAATAGCAGCTCGTGTGCCTTATATGGTCGGGATTGGTAATCATGAATATGATCATGCTACAGGAGGAGATAAAGATCCAAGCGGTGCACCAGGTCCAGGAGGATTTAGACCAGGATGGTAAGTTTGTCTTTAATAACTAGAAAAAACTTGCTGAACATCTCGGTACTGTTATTGATTATATAGTCAAACAGACCGTTTTTTCATATATGGATTCATTTCGATCTTATTTTATACTTAGGGGTGACTATGGTACTGATTCAGGTGGTGAATGTGCTGTACCTATGGTTCATCGTTTTCATTCTCCATCGAATGGTAATGGTTTGTTTTGGTACAGTTTTGATGTTGGTCCAATACATATACTTTATTATTCAACTGAACATGATTTTCGTCGATCATCACCTCAATATGCATGGATTGAGCAAGATCTTCGTTCAGTCAATCGTTCTCGTACTCCATGGCTTATTGTTGGTTCTCATCGACATATGTATACATCAGAAATAGAATCGATTGGTGAGCATGAAATTACGATAATGTTACAATTCTACTTAGAACCATTGTTTTATCAATATCATGTCGATGTCAATCTTTTTGCACACCGACATTCATATGAACGATCATGTCCTATGTATCAAAAAACATGTGTTGCCGATGGTATAACACATGTATTAATTGGTATGGCGGGTCAAAACTTAGATACTGATGTGTATTCGAGTGTTCCATGGAGTAAATATCATGATCAACAATTTGGATATACAACAATATTTGCCAATCAAACATATCTGCATCTGACATATTATCATAATAGTGATGATGGTATTGCTGATCAATTTGTGCTAACAAAATAACTTTTTAATGTACAAAAATTATTATTTTTTTCTTTAAAATAAAGAGTAATCAATCTATAGAATAGAACCGATATAATCTGATAAAATGTCTGTTATTATGTAAATGCTTTCCCATATCTGGTTTAGTATTGATTATAAAATTCGTGTCTATCACAAGTTGGATTCCATGTTCATGAACAATTTATACAATGCATAAATATCTAGCAAACATATGTTGAGTGATTTTTAGAATGATTGATCTTTTATTCTGAGAAATAAAGATAACATAGGTTATAAATAATTAAGTATATGTTAGATTTTTATGAACCTCGAAATAATTGGTTACGATGAAGCAATTAACCATATCAACAGAATGTGCAACACTTGTGATAATTTTGTAATAATTTTGAAGCTCGTGTCTTATTGAATTCACAGTGAATGAAGATGTATTAGGAGAAGGTTAACTACAGCACTTACAAAATATTTCATCGATGGGATTGACTGTTATTAAAGCTATGTTTTGGTCGCATATAATTTTGTCGAAGTTTTAACTTGCTGAGTGATCGATACATTCGATTTATAGATCATATGTGCGTGTTTGAGTACTACATTATTTCCTTTAAATTCTTAAACATTTTGACCATGAAAAGATACTGCAAGTGGTTACTAGAAAAGATTTGTTCGAGGTCCGACATTTATGCGTCGATTTTTAACCCTGATTTTCTTTAAGTATGACACTCGTCAAGAGTGATGTAATTTGTGGCCGATTAAGAACAATATCAACTGATATTCTACAACGGTTCAGTGTTCACCATCAATCATATAACTGAATTGGCTCATGAAAATTCGTCCAAAACGAAAAACACAGAAAGTTGCAACGAATAAGCCGATCAATACATGGGTTATTTTGACTTAAGCTGAGCTTCGTTTAGTAACACATTCAGTAGTTACTCGTCTTTGATTAACTTGAAAAACCTTAATCAATTTTGATTAGGCACGAAACGAAATTCGATAATTCAATTAGAAATTAGAAATTAATATTTTTGAACATGATCATTTTTCTTTGAAGTCAACATCCACTTCATCTTTGCCGAAAACTTCGTTGCTATTAGGAAAGGCAAGTTGGGAGTGGGGCTCGACTCTTCCACTTGGCATTTTTCCTATCTTCAAAGTAACATTTAGTTTAAACCAAGATTATTTTGATAAGACAATATGGGTATCCCTCCTTCATGCATGTGCGCTCGCACCTTTCTATGCGAAAAAAATATATAATCTTCAATAAATGAGCTGTTTCTTGGAAAAGTTGGGCTCTCATTTGTTCCTGTGCTGAGCTTGCATCTAAATTTCGGTGTCATGTTCATGATAACAAACATGCTCTTGCTGTAAAAGGTAACCAATCTGTAGAGAAAAGAATTTTCAGCAAACCTACAGCCTTTGAAAACATTTTGCTCATGACCTTATCTCTGTAAATGAGTAAAAAAAAAATATAGCGTATCTCAAAATTATACGACCCCTTTATTTTTGCAATTTTTTCAACAAAGACGGATAGCTAGATCAAATCGAAATAATGATTTGGATAGCCCTTGAAATTTTCTATCCAATACAATATGGACCAAAATTTCAAATTAAACTTTGAAGAGAGTTTTCCAGAAAACTCTTCCACTGAAATTTCATGTTCTACAAGAGTTTGACAAACATATTTTTAAATATAGTCATCTGAAAGAGCAAAAAATTCTGAGAAACTTAGGGGTCGTCCAGTTCTCGACGATGTTTCGTTCCAAAGTTATAAGCACCAGAAAAAAAACCGAAAAAAAAATGTTTTTAGCCGAATTTTAGCGATTTTTTAATAAATTATGACATTTTTTGAGTTTTCTCATGCTTATAACTTTGGAACGAAACATCGTCGAGAACTGGACGACCCGTAAGTTTCTCAGAATTTTTTGCTCTTTCAGATAACTATATTTAAAAATATATTTGTCAAACTCTTGTAGGACCTGAAATTTCAGTGGAAGAGTTTTCTGGAAAACTCTCTTCACAAAGTTTAATTTGAAATTTTGGCCAATACTGTATTGGATAGAAAATTTCAAGGGCTATCCAAATCATTATTTCGATTTGACCCAGCTATTCGTCTTTGTTGAAAAAATTTCAAAAATAAAGGGGTCTTATAATTTTGAGACACCCTATACATTTTGCGCAAAGGGTGTCGGTGTGGGGTATTTTGTAGTCAAAAACTCACGCAAAAACACTCATACTCTCTAATACCAGTGTCTTAGCTGTTTTCATGTAGGTCTGAATACAACGAGAGAGTCAAGCTTTTTCATCTTTACATCCTTTCCTGCTATCATAGCTGTATCGGTTTCCAGTTATACAAGCTACAAAATATGCTTCTAAAGTTTTCGAGCTCTATACTTTCTGGATTTTCTGCAATTGTTCTACAAACGAATCAAACATAGTTCAGCAAGAGATAAATGGTTAACAGTAGACTTTACTGTAATTTTTTCATATTGAATCTACAAATGAAATGATACGTCGAATTTCTGATAGCAGCGAATACATGCGATGAAGATCAGAAAAATAATCAATCATCGTAGACTAAAAGGAATATCGGTAAAGGTGTAGCTGTGACAGCTGCTGGTGAGACCACTCACAACGCACAATCACACAATGAAATTGTTAGCTTCCAGTGTTCTTGAAATATAGCATGATGTTTCTGTTTGTGTTTTGATCAAAACATCGCTCACTCCAGTATGCCTTTTGACTGTGATGTTACAGAAACAAGTAAAATAGAAATCTTCACTTCATTTTTGAATCTAAAAATTTTCAATTTTTGGATTTTGCATTTCAAAGCTGTTACACTGTTTCATGTAACACTTGATTAATGAGAAAAGTTTATTTCGACTTCTAGTCAGTTTCATTAAAGTAGCAATGAAGTTAATTTATGAAATACTGTTACAAACAATCATACGATAGTAAACTCCACGTCGTTTCATTAACTCTGCATGAGTACCATTTTCTACCAAGTATCCTTTCTCAAGAACACAGATCAAATCACATGAACGAATGGTCGATAGACGATGAGCAATGATCAGTGAAGTGCAAGTTGAATTCATTGTTTCAGCTTTTTCAAGAGCTTCTTGTACAATCTAAACATATCAGAAGAGAGTATTTAATTACCGAACATACTAAGAGAAACGAACCTGTTCATTGTAAGTGTCCATTCCACTTGTTGCTTCATCTAACAATAATATTTTTGGTTGACGAAGAAGTGCTCGAGCAATGGCAATACGTTGTTTCTCACCACCTGACAAGTGAACACCTTTCATACCCACTCTAGTTCCATAACCCTATTGTCACAATGCAAAGACACAATCAAATATCATTTATTATACATTACTTACTTGAGGTAGTTGCTGAATAAAATCATGAATGTTAGCTTTAGTGGCTGCGTCGATAATGTTTTCAATGGAAGTATTCTCCTTACCATAAGCTATGTTTTGAGCAATAGTCAAATTAAACAAGATAGGCTCTTGACTAACAAGACCAACAGTCGAGCGAAGCCATTGAATACTCAGCTGTCGAATATTAACACCATCAAGATACTAGATTTCGGTAGCCAAGTGTTTGCACGAATATTTAGACAGCATAAAAGAAAAATACTTACGATTTGACCCTGTAGAGGATTGTAGAAACGTTCTAAAAGCTGAATGACTGTTGATTTTCCACAACCAGATGCACCTTTGTATATAGATTATATAATCAGTTTGAATAGGTAACAACTAACTTGAACATACCTACAAGAGCCACACGCTGGCCTAATTGACAAATACAAAGGTTTTATCATAAACTAAACTTAAAATACATGTGATAAACTCACCAGATTTGATCGTCAACTGAAATTTATTTAGAATGCAGGATGCTGGTCGAGATGGATATGCAAATTTGATTTGATTAAATTCGATTGCACCTTGGAAATCACTCTGTCATCAACATATTTTAACAATGAGATAAGACTGATCTATTCAACACAAAGTCTTTTACTAAATAAATGACTTACTAATTGTTGACCATTGTTGGAACTATTGTCAATAGTTGATGTTCGATCGAATAAATCGAAAAAGCTTCGAGCTGCTGATAATGAGTCAGCCATTTGTCGTGTCCTAAATAAAACCCTTGAAGAAACAAAGTTGACTGAAGAAATGACTTACAAAGTCGTAATACATCGTACGGATTCCAAGATGAAAATGTGATAGGCAAACACTCTAGAAGAATTTGTAAGTAAAATAGATCTTAAAGCTTTTTATTTATCTACATAGTGAGTTTGTTGATGTTCAGCTCTTTGCGTTCAACAAGGATGAGAGCCTCCCAAAAGAGAATTAACACACTGAATGTTTTCGTTCCCCAATAAAGACCATATACAAGGAAGGATATTATTGTATCGTTTCGTCGAATTCTATGCGAAAATATTTCACAGAGATTAAGGAAAAAGTAATGAAAAGACTGACTTGAACTCCTCAAAAACAAAACTTGAGAATTTCTGTAGAAATTCTGCCTCACTTGCCAATTGTTTCACTGTGCGCATATTGTGAATGATTTCGACAGCAAACTATTAAAAAAAGTAGATGCAGCATCAACATTCCAATATGCATGATATTTCAATCGACATGGTCCTCTCACCGAACTTGCCGATCCAAGAACACAATCACAGCGTTTGTTCAGTCGTGCTTGCCTACGTATTTGCAGCAAAGCAACAACAAATATAACAACAATATAGATGAATGCGATTAATGTCAACTGCCAACTGAACCAAAATCCGATCATAATACCAACTAGAAATGTCGCGATTGATTCGCAAACGATGCCTAGATAACTGCCAACCATCTGCTGAATAGCCAACGCATCGGATGAGAGACGATTACAAATAGCTCCAGAACTATTCTCAGGGCGATCAAAGAAAGCTATTTCTTGGCGCAAATAGTGCGCAAAGGCTTTGATGCGAATACGCTCGATCAACTTTGAGCCAGATACAGCAAATGCAGTGTACTATTGATTCAGAAAATATAAAACATTTCATGTAATATATTCCTACTTGAATAAGACGTATAGCCAAAAGGACAATACCCATTAACAAGAAGAGAAGAGAAAATTTCAAAACTTGATGTTGTCGTTCTTTGTAGGTACATGCTCCAAATGCCTTTGAAGAATCGATTACGACAATTCGGGTTATTCTTTGCATGAAAATAACTTACAGATACTGTAAGAGAGAGTAGAATAGCATGAATGGATTGATTTACTCCAATTATTAGGCAGGCAACGCAGCCTATCAGAATAATGATCCCCTCGGGTCTATTCATAAGCAAAAGTCGCAAGAAAACAGGTCGACGATTCACATCCGATGAGGCCTATGAAAAGAACATTGTGCATCTAAAAACTATCGGAACCCAACTGAATTCAAACTCTCTTACTTTACTTTCATTGTCAAGTTCGCTATGACTATGATGTCGAGAGCTTTCAGCTAATTAAAACAAATGGTCTTGTTCAAAGTTTTTTTTTTTCTTAAAATCTGTACATACTTATTTGTCTTTGATCGTCATCTTCGATTTGTTCGGTGCTCTTTTTTTCATCGATATCATTTTGTGTTTTTTCTTTTTGTTGAGCTTTCATCATCTCACAATATCGACTTCCTTCCTGTGACATTAGTGTCTCATGTGTACCTTGTTCGATGACACATCCATTATCCAACACATATATTCGATGTGCATTTTGAACTTCTGACAAACGATGACTAATCACAATAGTTGTTCGATCTATGAACAGCTTTAAATGGTATGATTGGAACAGAAAGATATGTGCGAACCTTTGCATGCTTGATCGAGTGCTTCTTGCACAATCTTCTCATTGGTATTATCAAGAGCACTTGTTGCTTCGTCCAACAAAAGCAAGGCAGGCTGTTTAACAAGAGCGCGAGCCAAAGCTACACGTTGCTTTTCACCACCACTCAACTGAACACCACTCTCACCAACAACCGTATCATATTTCTATGAAAACAGAAAACGTAACATATGTCATTAAAAAAGATTATTCAATGCAAACATTCGGTAATTGCATTATGAAATCATGTGCATTGGCTTGACGTGCTGCTTCCTCAATTTCAGCTTTTGTTGCATTTTCTTTACCAAATCGAATATTTTCATAGATACTTGTGGCAAAGAGAATCTACATTGAACAATATCAAGTGCAAAAATCAGAATAGAAAAAGGCAGACATACAGGTTCTTGACTGACAACACCAATCTTTTGTCGAAGCTGTTTGACATTGCAATCAGTAATCGATCGATTATTAATTGCAATGCAACCCGATAAAGGTTCATAAAAACGAAGTAGAAGGGAAATACATGTACTCTTGCCTATTCGATTAACAAACTATAGACTATCAAATTCCGATATGCTTTTTTGGCAAGTACTCACCAGAACCACTTGATCCGACTAAAGCTATTGTCTGACCGGAACAAATTGTCAGTGTGAGATTTCGTAGAACGAAGACATCTGGTCGAGCTGGATAGGCAAAGTTGACATTGTCAAACTGAATATCATCATTTATGTTGATAGATAGTTCAGGAGAACCCGAATCTTCCAATGTTTCTGTTTCAGTGAAACTTGTATTTTTTTCCTATATGATGCAATACTGAAGAGACAATATTGTAAATTAGGTATAACTATACTTCATCAATCAATCGAAAAACAGGTGTCAAAGCACCTCGAGCTTCTTCCAACATTTGAAAGAAAGGACCAAGAAATGGAATATTAGTGATAATTCGTGCTAAAGTAATCACTATCTACTCAAATGTCGAGAATTTATTGGTTTTCGAAATCTTATTTGTCAACTGAATAACTTACCAGAATAAGATTACTGAAACTGAGTTTGTCAGGTCCTTCGTGATGCATGAGAGATGAACCAAAAGAAAAACCAATTGAATAAATCATGTATCCTATCAGATAACTCCATCCAGTGAGAAGCCCAAGTGCAGCAGCCTTTCGGACACTACTTCTACGAGTCGCTTGCAATTCGCGCTCATATCTAGATTGACAATAAAACTCGAACATGATCATGGTTAATATTTTACAAAGTTCCTCTAACAATAGATATATTTACTACCGTTTCTCTTCAAATTTCCCACCATTGAGCGAAAGTACAGTGCGAAGAGAACTGAACACTTCTTGAACGATTTCTCCAGCTTTTGAATACATATCCAATTCTTTTCTTGATTCTTTAGTGATGATCTTGTAGAGTTAATATAAGCTAAATCAATAAAAAGCAACTGTATCTACCTTTGAAAAGACATATGAGCCGACAAAAGCAAATGGGGCAGTGCATATTATTGCAAGTGTCAATCTCCAGTTGCTGATTAATGCAATACCGACACTGGAAATAATGGACAATAATGCTGCAAGGAACTTCGATACTTCAAAGCTGATGGCTTTACTCATATGGTCGATGTTACTATGAGACGATATGAGAGAGGCAGATATCGTTTCTATTGTAAATACTGCCAAAAAATGACTTACTTGAACAATTTGACACTGAACTGACTGATTGAATTTGTATCGCAATAGGAAATATTCTAAAAACAAGAGAGAGATAGAGAAAAAGAAAAAGAACCGATAAACATGTTTGACAGCTAACTACCATGGCGTCGTAGCTCAATAAATAGCTGCTCCTCGTGTTTTCAACTTCTTCGTTTGTCATCCGTGTTCAGACACAAGCTCTTTTTCAAAATATACACTGTCCATTGATCGCTCTCTCCTAGCTGCGACAAAAGGTATATTTTATTCCATGAATTTAGTCTTCCTTTTTCAGATTTTCACGATTTATATAAAACTATTAAGTATAATTCTCATTTTCTTTTTATATTTTAGTTTTTACTCTTGCTATATTTAAACTATTACAATATTAAAGCTTGTATTTTGAGACTGTTAAACGTTATAATTTTCTTATCTGAAACAGCTCATCATATTTGACGACTATTTTACAAAATTCATTGGTATTATCACCCATGGCAACGTAACGAAACAATCTACGGTGATGTGAGAATGAGAATACCAAAGGACAATAGTTGAAAAGAAAAAGTTTGAAAATTGTACTTGATTATTGCATAAAATTCTGCGGCGTTTGAAAAAAGATGAAGACTATTGTCATCGAGTATAATTGCTTTCAATGTCATTTCTACGGAATTAAAATGCAGAACACAAGGAAATTACTCGAACTATAATGTGAAACCTATCTATGCTTTTCGCAATATCTTCGGGAACTAATGAGTAATACATAAAAGATCCCTCAAAACTGTCACAAACTATGGGATATATACTGTAAACTCCTAGGAAATGCTTGTCACCATCGTTGGAGTATGGTAGGAGTAGGAATAACTTTTCTTACAATATACTTAAGCATTGTATCTCAGTCATGTCTCACAACATATAATTTTACAGAGAATGGCACAATGTATAGTTTCAAACCAAGTACAAGTATGAACGATGATAATCAATGTAGAAATTGAGAGAACAATGAGGAGACCATTCATTTTTTTTCCATTCTTTATATCTGTATGAAGATGAATGTGATTGACATACGCGTTGCAGAAGTGATTGTAAAAGACGAATACGTATTCCAGAGATTTGTCGTCTGGAGACCACTGTAAAGACAAAATATTGAGCAGCAAGGCACACGAATTGAATGGAAACAATGACTATATACATTCAAGATGCAAACCGTTTTTCTAGCTGATGCCTACAAAGTTAGATTTTTCCTGCTTACTTAACAGCCATATTAATAAGTGTGTCACATCTTCATGAAGATTGCTGGTAGAAAATGGCCATAGCAACGCTGAGGTAGTACTATCATTTGAACGGAGCCTAGAATTCATGAACAGTGAATAAGGAAAAAAGGTAGAGTATATTAGCATCTTCTGTCATCAACAGTTACTTTTGCGATTGATCGTAGGTGAACATATTTGGCTCAGTATTCGATGGACACCCTCTGCTATTGTTAATAGTAATCGATACGTTTTGCTGTGAGGAGCATCGACCGATAAACGATTGCGACGCAAATACACTCGTAAGTCGACTAAAAATAACTAAAGACGCTGTAAAGACCATACTGTATATTACGACGGTACATAATCCGAGAAATATCATGATAAGATCAAGTCGATCAGCAAAACGAAACTATCAAAAAGTAAAAGAAACACTCTTTTGTTCAATATGTATTCACTTTTCTTGTACTTACCAGTTGAAAATATCCAACAATTGGTTCATCTTTAGTGCGATCATTATCATTATCCAAATTTTCATACTTTTGGTCGAGCTGTTTGAACGAGAAATATTGACGCCAATTCGAAAGTCTACATGAATAAGTTATTGTTGCTGAAACTTCTCTAAAATTTATTTCTTTTATACTTATTAATCACTGATTGTCTTCTATTGCTATTGCAATTATGAATAGAAAAACGATCTACAGTTGACAATAGTGGTTGCTTATCACTCATGATGTGATGTATTGTCTTTTATGTTTGAGAGATATCAGAAACGAAATATGCACGTAGCGCGAATGTTTTATTATATTCGGTGCGCTTGGCTGGATACACGTGCGTTGCCTATACATGATATATATTGATACAAAGAAACGCAAGATTGCAAAATTTTAAATAACCAAAATCTAAACAAGCCAAAAGAGCTACGCATCGCGTATTGATAATTTCCGACACGAAGCGACAGAAAAATTGATTGGGCGTTCGATTCATCCTATTGAGGTAATAATAACAGTATAAAGAAAATTAGTAGACTGTTGATCAAAAAGTAAAGTAATGAGCATCAATAAGGATGAAATGATAAGGAGCAACGTTGCAACCGGTAATGGTAAACCATCAGTCCAGTTTAGTGGAGAATTCCTTACTGGTTGATTTCCATTTTTTCAATTTTGACATATCGAGCCATTATTATTAATATTAACGACTATTTCTGCGGACAAATATTGATTATAGAATGTTTTTTTACGTAAATGTTCATGAAAACAGCTCTGATATATTTCATCAAGTAACTTCGATATCAACTTATATTATCAAAAATAAATTGAAATCATTGTTCTTCATTGTAGTTAATTGTATAATTTATCACATTTTTTTACTGCTATGCTTCATTGTTTGAATAAAGATTCATTAATATACATGTGTGTTAACTGATATTCTACAATCTAATATATAAACTATTCTAAATGCTTGCAGAATCTTACGTATAATGAAAGTTTAGTCTTCTTAATATATACAAAAAATTATTTTAAGAATTATTTTTTTAATCGAAAAAATTCATTTTTTTAAAGTAGGTTGTTCCAAAAAAGTGATAGATTGTTAAAATGAAAATTTTATCATAGAGCACATAAAATTTTGAAATGTAGATCAATGCTTAAAAAATTATCTATATCAAACAGTGTACAGATTTGAAGACCAATTATCGATTAATCTCTATGAATAAACTAAGCCATTACTGATTATAGATAAAAATTAAGAAAAAAACATAAATAAGGGATAGTCTTGTCAAAAAGAAGCATTGGCACTTTATAGTTTTTTTTTGAAAATGAGCTATGGTCTTTGGGAGTTGAGTGTCATTGTTAATACCTCTCCTTCGCTCCATTCAAAGATTGATCTTGGGCCAGAGATATGTAACAAATAAACATTCAAAAATAGCTCATTTGACAATTCAAAATGCTCAATGAACTATCCTTCTATATGATTAACTTTTTGTTTGTTTGGAAGAGCATGTTAGGATACAACGCGTGACAGTCTTCTTTTTTAAATTCTCACTTTTTAGAGGAAGATAAGTTCAATGTCTCAAAAAATGGTACTCTAATTATGAAACTACTTTTCTATATACTAGCGACAAAAGCTTATTGCCAAAAAGGAACTTTATCATACTCTACATGTCGAAATATTTTTTCAAGCAAACAAAGAGCAATTGAATAAATAGAATAAAGATTCATAGAGAATTCTGAATCGCAGAAAGAAAAACACATACACGAAGAAAAAAAAGGGAAAATATTCTTAGTTTTTTCTGAGAAAAGCATGTTTTTCATGCAGAAAGTGATGGAAATCATCAAAAATTGTTGGCAAAAAAAACAAAATACTGAATAAAAAATCGTGTCGCTTATGAAAGATGAGGCTATGAACTATTTTCTCATATGGTATATGTGTCAGTTTTGATCTTTTTGACAAAATTTGTCTTTTTTAAGGGATGGGAATATTAAAACTATCAATTTATAATTGAGATTAACAATAAAATTGCTCATCTATCTACACAAAAAAGTGTTTCAATAAAGCTAAAGTGAATATAACATATCGTTTATAAATAACCGAGTCATAAAATATAAAATAATAACAACACTTTGGAATATTTTCTTGTTTGATTGCTATAGAGTTCTATTAACTAATTGTTTTAATTGTCATTGAATTAGTAAATCTTCTATAAAATATTAGCAAGAAAATGAAATATTATATACGAAGAAAAGAGCCAAACTATTCGACATTTCGTCGACATCGCATTTGTGAAATTATATAAATAGCAAAATACAATATTATTATCGTAAAACGTATTTCTTTGTGGACAATATAGCTATAACTAGAAAGATGCTCTAATTAATTTCTCACTTTCGAGCTCATATTTTGTCTATAAGTAGGATTATATGAGACTAAGAAAAGTCTAAAATCTTTCGTGTTGATTATCTATTGTT